CCCCGGGGAACACGCGGCTGCCTCCGGCCAAGGTGGAGGTAACCTCTCGGTGTCTCTCTCTCCCCCGACAGGTGTGCGAGAAGTTTACCATCTGCGAGAACAGCATGGAAATGCTCGTCCGGAACAACCTCGACCTCCCCAAGATGACGGAGAAAGATGGGTGTCTGCTCGCCGGCTTCGATGAGGCAAGGAACCGCTCCCATTTCTGGTCCAAGCCTGTAGACCTGCCACAGTTTTTGCCTGCTCCAAAACAAAAAAGGGTCGAGGTTGACCTAAAGATTTGTGCCGGCTCCAGCGGCACAGACCTCCATGCTCTATATAAGCATCACCTGCTTACCTGCACCGTACGCGCCACATTGCGATGGAGGCATTTCTGACCTGTAAGTGACTTTCTCGCCTTTCTCTCTTTCAGGATAAATGCCTGAAGAAAATCTCCAGCGGGCTTTATACGTTTCAGACGTACCTTGAATACATACAAGAAACTTTTACTAGTGAAAAGCAAAACGTTGAATTGCTGTGCCATAGTACAAAGCACCTGGCATACACTATAAAACAGATGGTGAGTTGGTTTTAAATTCACTCCAATAATCGTTATGGCTTAGCACTGATGTGTAGTCACACAGCATCCTGTTTCTATTCAGCTGAACATTTCCCACTTTCATTTCTCTCAGTAAAAACAGGTGATGGTTCCTTATGCTCAGATACTTATGGTTTTACAAGGCTTTGTTTTCTGTTCTTAAAGAAACAACTCTTCTTCCCACTTTCTATTGTTATTCCTGATTTCCAAACCAACAATTAAATGCTTCATTGTTTTAAGAACAAATATAGTAACGCTGCCTGGCTGATAGAAATACGATTTCTCAGGGAGCCTGTTCCCAACTGTGGAACTACAGTTCAGTCCAAGCCTTTTAATGCCACAACCCCTGATAAGCAGAAATAAGTAACTTTTTTTTAAAGAAAAAAACAACCCACATAAATAAAAGCAAATAAGACTTTTACAATGTTAATATTATCTTTAAAACTATCTGAAACAAACTTTCAAGCCAAGCTGTATGGTATATTGATATATCAGGAGCTTAAAAAACAAGACAGAATTCAGAACGCAAAGTAGTAACTTGACTACATAAAAGCTGTTGCTATTGAAAAAGCACATTTTGCACATTTGTAATGGTCATGATTTTACAAATACCTGATTCTCTTTTCCTTAGTAAAGTAAATGTTACTCATTTTCTACAGTCACTTCTGTGTTTTGAAGAACTTTGAAAGATCACTTGAAAAATTCACTTCATTCCTGCAGTTCTTACTCATGTTAATAACCCTTAAGGCAAATACTTTCTTTGCCATCAGACAAGCTATTTGCCTGAGTAAGAGCCACCCAGGTGAGTAAGGACTGCAGAAATGTCAGGGCATTACTTCCCTCAAAGTGTTTATTGGCATCCAAAGAGCCCATTGTGTGCTCACCATACCTTTCCTAACATATTTATTTATGTCCATCATGCTTCAAGTGAAAGGGTGCTGAACTGCTTTTTTCACGCTGTGCTAGCTAAGAATAATAGTCCTGTCATAAGATGGCAACTGATCACTTGATATATTAGTTTGCAGAAAGTTTGTTTCAGAACTGGGGGACATTAGCTTTTTTTTTTTTTTTGTAAATTAGTAGGATGAAGGTAATTGGAACAGGCAGAATTAAACATGGTGATCAAAAGCAAAATCTATACTTATAGAAACCAAGTTTTTGAGAAAGTCTTTATTTCCAGGTTGGAAATTTTTCTTTACCTGAGAAGTCTTATCTGCTATTTCAGACAAGCAGGGCAAGAACAGAACCTGCCACTTGTGGTTTGGTAGATCCATCAGCACAATACCCGATATCGAGATACAAACTCCTTGTTGAATGCTGTAGAAGTTTGTATCTTCTTAAAGAGTAGGAGAGATTCTAAAACCAGGATGAAGCAGGTATTTTGTAGACTTCTAGACCCCAAGTCACCTAAAACCACTGCATGATTTGCATGAGTAGCTCTTACCCAAATGGGACAAGTTCTTAAAAGGTATCTGGGTACCAGCGCTGTCAGCCAGCATTTGGTACATAACTCCTTTTACTCACCTTGCAGTTCAGTCCCACCCATCAGTGCAAGTTGGCACACAGCCTCTCACATGCCTGGAAAGTAAGAATTCAGGAGCGAAACAAGTTTGATGTCTTTGGAAACTGTTAATTTACTACAAAACGTGAGAGTAATTCCAATGCCATCTAATTAACTTTTGACTCAGGGTGTAGGAGAAATTAATCATCTTCTCCACTAAGCATGCAGCTGGCGCACAGCAGGAGAGGCGCAGCGATCTGGTCAGCAGACCTTGCATTCAAACAGCGGAGCTCAGACAGGACCCTCTGATTCTTCCACAGTTGTCATAGCAGGCATCAACCTGACTGCAGGAGCAGGGCTGCAGGGAAGCACAGGTCCTGGGCAGGTCTGTCGTCTGCAGTGTAGGAAGGGTGGATATGCAGCCGATCAGGAACGCGCTACACACAAAACCCAAAGCTCTCCAACAAGCTCAATTACAATGTTTTAACCGAGGCACCCTGATATTGTCTTTTTCACAGGTGATCAATCCCGATGAAGTGATCATCCCAGATTCAGCTACCCAGGAATCCCTCCGCGCAAAGCTGAGGTCCAAAAAGAACTGGATAGCGAATATCACCACCCACCTCATCCTCCGAGGCTTTACTTCGTTTATGGAGAACACCGTGAGGGCCATTCGCTATTTAAAACACACCAGGAGTTTCAGTGTCTGAATGTTTTAATTCAGGCATAATCCTTTGTTACAAATCTGTCATGTGGCAGATGACAGTGTTGTTCTGTTTTAAGAACCACGAATAGTAACAATGATTTGCATTTATACACATTCTCATTTCCTTCTGGGAACCTATTTATTGTATTTAAAAATATTTATTTGTTTCTAATGCCTCCTATTTATATTTTTGATATTTAGTAATAATTTAAACAAAGGACGTATTTTACTTCGTTTCTTATGGTACTACTTGGAATATAAACTTATTTAATGTGTATTCAACCAAAAAATATTTTCAGAAGCCAGAAAGCTTTTTGTATAACTTACACTTTTAAAATATTTGAGAGATGGTATTTATGACTTATTTATAATTTTAGAACAAATAAAAATGGATTTTTAAAAAAACCAACTCAACTGTATAATCTGTTTGAACTTTAAATAAGACTAAGGAAATCAAATGTTATCAAAATAACCACTTTCAAGAATTTTAATTATATCTGTATCATTAGGTCACTTATCTACATAGCATGCACATACACACACAGCTTGATCAACATGTAATTGTTTAAATAGGATATAAAAGAACCAGATGCACTGAACTCTGCACTTAAGAATGAACACAGTAAAGCATCATCACTCTTCAGAAACAAATGAACAACAAACTCCCTCTATTTAAGAGGGACCACTCCGTGAAATTGTAATTGTTTGCAAGCATCTACTTACAAGTCAAGCGGCCTCTTTGAAACAAATAAAAGACACCACATTAATCAGATGATGGGTTTCATATAAAAGCTGTGAGACTTACTGCCATCATCCAAAGGAATTTTCCAAGTTTGACTAAAGATGTCCTCCCCCCTCTTCCCAAGAAGCACACAAAAAATAATAAAATCTTAGGTTCTTTCCTTAGGCGATATAAACCAACATAGAGCACCGAGATGACCATTCACTGCATTTGCTTTTTGTCACTTATATTTCACTAGCGCAGGCAGGCCACATAACATGAATGCATATTCTTGACTGTAACAGAGGAAAAAACCTCAAGTCCTTAGCCCAAGAACCAAACCACTGTAACGCTCCTTAGCTGTGCCACCTGCTTCCCTGTGGCCCTACAGGTACCTCACACAGCCAAGCTCAGAGGAATTCACAGCGCACACAGGGGATGCAAGCAGCAGGAGCCCCTCAAGCTTTGTGCCCACAAGTGGACACATTAATCACCCTCTCTCTTTCTTGCAGGCCGTGGTGCAGATGAGGAGATGAAAGGGAAGCCCTGGAATGTGGATAAGGATGTCAGTAAACTCTCCTCTTCCTCTGGGTGATCTGATCATCCATGCATGCATTGCACTGCTGGGGATGCCAAAACAGTGACCGGTCAGAGCCCCCCATCTCGGAGACTCAAAACAACACAAACAATGGTTTTGCCCAATATGGTAAAAGCAATGTGTCTGGTTGTGCAACACCTGAAGAATGAGGACACCTCAAGGTGTTGAGATGTCTGTGGTGAATGGGCTTTTCCTTACAATGCAAAAGATTCTGCTTTAGCTGTCTTGGCACGTGCCTAGGAAACATAAGAAAGTCTGGTTTGGCTTTTTCATAGCTTACCTTCACAGAGGTTTTCTTAGCAACCATTCTTCCCCTTCTTATGTCCCTAATAGCTACAAGACCCAAAGATCAGACCTTTTAAGGACTTTATTACTACTGTGTGAGAATGGAGGGGGAGAAAGGGAAGACAGACTGACTGACCAAAAAGAAAAGCATCTCCTGGTCTCACCTCTCCCAGCAGTGGGTGGATGCCTGACATCATCGTCTGCACACTGCAGCTAAGCTCACACTGATTTCCTCCTTGAATGCCAGGAAGCATCTAATATTTGGGGTACTGAAATCTCACGCAGTTGACAGATAAGCATCCACACTCCTCACCAGCATCCTTCAGCTGGTGACCACAATACCAGTATAGATGTAAATACTATTACATTTTTAGGATGTAAAAGACAAGCAGACTACTGTTTGTTGGGTGGAGAGGTCAACTTCCAAGTTCTTCCTGGAGCGAAGGGTAACACTGATGCTGCCGCTGAGCTGCCACCATTTCACTTGTAGCTCCTCCACAGCCACCAGGATTTCTCACAGTCTTTTCCAACACAGCAGCTGCCTCACTGGCCATCATTTTGCTGTCACCATGCCAACTTCGGGGACTGTCCCCAGGATAAGCACATAAGCACCACTCACTGAAATCTACACTCATTGGCACTTGTGGCACATGAAGACTTGCATTGGAGAATTCTTAGGTAAGTCAGAGGACAACTGAATGCTGTTGAGGACATTATGGGGTATCTCAAGCTAACCAACTTAACATAACCAACTTAACATCTCTTTTCCAGTTTACTCTGTAGGAAGTATTTTACAACAATCAATAAACACCACAGAGACACTTAAGTTTGGTTGGCAGGGCCATGCAAACACATAAAAGCCCATAACAACAGCAAACACAAGTGCTCCTAACATTTATAATTCCTCAGAAATAACTGTGCTACTTTTAGCAACAAATACCTCAACATTTCCACGGAAGAGAGAGCTCCTCCTAACTGACAGCTAACTCACTAAGCATGGGAAAAAAAAACCAAAACCCCCAAACATCCAAACCTCAAAAGACCTGCTAATAATTGCCTATAAAAACTACTTGGCAAAGAAGCTGCTGCTGTACCAGATCCCAGATAGCCCTTCCCCACATTCCCAGTGCATCCCTGCTCATTGACCTCACGCAGAGATTTCTGAATGCTCAACAGATTACTAACGCCCTTCACCCTGAATTCGCTTTCCCAATGCAGGAAGAGAGCACAGCTGTATTAAGAAGCATGCATACACTTGCATATGCAAAAGTATGCAAGAATAAACCCAAGGTATTAATAGACAGTGTTCAAGTTGAGAAACAAAATATTCTTTGGTGCTGTGGACATGACAATAAAATGCTACAAAAGAGAGAGAAAAAAATTGAAAAAGGATGTAACCTAATGCTAAAGTAATCTGTAACACAACATTACTCTTTTTTTCTGCAGTGATACATCTCTGAAGTATCATTTTTTTATTTTTTTTAATTGTACTTTTTCATCAGACAGGTAAGAAACTTTGCTGTTTGGTTTTTTTTTAAAAAGGAGAACATTTCAACCTGATCCACTTCCCAGGCTGCAGAAACATCCCTGCCCACTAAGCCTAGGTTCTGATTTAAGCACTAAATTTTGGCAGAAAGAACAACATCTACTTGAAAGAGACCGTCTACATCTCATCCTCATAAAACCTATAGCCTCCTAATCATACAGCCCAGGGACATGGGACAGGATCATAAAAGAAAACGGAGTTTTTTAGAAGAGAGGCCATTTGGGATGAAGGCAGGTGCACAGGCAACCTTCCAGGCTGGCTGGAAAGGGGCTGCATTCAGGTTGGGCTGCCACGTATTGCAGTGTTTTTCGCGGGGGTCAGAGGAAGGTGTCTATGAGAATAAAGTGGCTCTGGAGAAACACCACTGGAACATAACTGGAAATCTGTGCTTATCCTAGGTCTCAGGCTAATAACTGCTCCCTGCTTTGCAGCTGCTCAAACTTCTTACCTGTGGTGGATACTTGGAATTAAGAAACCAGAAGAAAGAACCAGAGAATAAATATCCTTTTCCTCTTAGCAGATAAGCATGTTTTAGCCACCCTTTAATCTTAAATTAACATAAGCATAACCAAGAAACAATGCACATAAACCACAAGCTTAACCAGGAAACCGTTATTGCACTGCACACCATCATGGAAAAGTATTTAGAAACAGCAATTAAAAACTCATTTGTAAAAATTCTATTAGTCATATGACATCTAACCAGGATGTAGTCTCCCCTCCTGTGGTGAGAACAGATGCAATGAGCTTTTATTGCCAAATATATCACCAGTATTATCATAGCTTAAATTCCAAGTCTGTAACGAAATATTTCCAAAAATATCCAGGGTATATGGCTTATCTTAGCATTTTTTTCCTAATAAAAAACAATGTCTTAGATCCCTGTTTCACAACACAATGCAATAAAACTGCATTTTAAGAAGTGCTTTGTCATCTATGTCCATTTTGGGAGACTGCTGTAAAAAAAGGGTTTTAGACACTGCCAATGCAGGTGTTTGCTATGATAAAATTAGGAATGTTGCTTTGGTCTGCAGAGCTCGCACATTTGAAAGCTATAGGTTTACATTAATGCGAGTTTTGCTGATGAATTAATTCAAGAATAAAAGAACGTTACAACAGTAACTTGATACTAGCCACATCTACACCAGGAATTTGTAGCAGAATTAAATACTTGTTCCAAATTTCTTATCAGCCTAATTCTTACTTCACAACTGGCCAGGCCTTGAAGAGTTTTGGAGAGAACAAGTAGGTTCCTTTGTAGTTTAACTTACTAAGAACAAAATGATACTGAAAGCCAGGTATCTTTTTTCCTCCCTTGTTTAGTGCTGACACTAAACAACCGATTTTCCACACCCTCCTAGCCAAGGATCCCCAGTCCAAACACCAAGACCATAAAAAACTACTGCGCTCCCAGACTTCCTCAGCATCGCACACCAAGTATCACAAAGTGGCTCCTTCTCCGATGTGCATGCCTTTTCTCACCTCATTTTCACCTTTAAAAACCTTTTCCATTTTTCCTACTGTTCATTCTTCTTCTGAGCAATCTCCCTGTCTTTATTCTAGTTTCAGGATCCTAACTCCATCCCTACCTTCCCTTTCTCGCTGTCTCTTGGCTCTCTTTGACTCTCTGTCCACCCTTTGTACCGCTCGCTGTGCCCACACCTGAGGGCAGCTCCTCAGAGCCAAGCCTGCAGGAGATCTTTGCTGAAGGGGCTGGCACAACCGAGGGCTGACGAGGTCACCCAATGGCACCAGGTCGTAACTCATCTTCTGACTCCAGCTGAATAAAAACAATGGTTTTCAGTAAACTACACTCATCGACTTTATTCCAGAGTTCATATGTGGTCTCACAGGACCGCAGAACAAACCCCACTGCAGGAAATGATCTATACTTGGCTGCAGAAGCCACCGATTCAC